ATTCCTACCTACTGTCTTATCTCTTTGACTATCTTTCAACTTACTCTCTAACTAAACTAACGATGCTTCACGAAGCGTCATATTTATAATCTACGTTCGAATACACTAGAAAAACTTTACGTCACGTCCTTCGCACTTTCTTGGCGTTCTACGTTCTCTAACTAACAAATTACAACATTAAAAATATAGCTCACAACACTGTTTCCGGATATATCATTAGGACGACACATTCATTAAATGATCTCATGGTGAAGAACGCTGAAGAATATTTTTATAAATTTGAACCCCTTTCAAGTACAAAACATGTATAAAATTTACAAAAATGACCGATTCATTTTCTTCATTGTTCTAGTCCTTAGTATCGACTAATGTTTACTCCTTGTTTCATCACTTCCATTGGACTTTAGACATTACTCTGATAAAAAGGTAGCTGCTCTTTTCAGAATACATGTACAGGCGTGGACTGGGACACCGAGAAAAATCCCCCTTGGAAAAGTACGTAAAAAAATATATTAATTCACTGTCAGCATAATAGAGAAATAATTGCCAACAAATTAACATGTGTATTAATTCTACCAATAACGATGTACATCGAAAATAATTTACTTGACCCTACTTCTGTAGAAAACGTTATCTTCTATATTGTGAAAGTTTCCTCTTTGTTTTCCAAATTACTGATCGTGTGAACTATGTTTGACTAGTGTTTTAATATTAAATTGCATATACTTCTTAAGTATGTGTTTTTATTTTTAATAGAGTATTTGTGGGCTCTCCTTAACTTTATTTTGTCCCTGTAGAATGTTAGAGCCCAGTCCATTTCTGGACTATAACATTTTGAAAATAAAAACCTTTCAGTTGAAATAGAGAAAGGTTACTGAAAGGTATTAAAGACACACACACACAAAACGCTAAAAACCGGGTTTCGATACCCGTGGTGGGCACAGCACAGATAGCCCATTGTTTTGCTTTGAAAAAGGTGGATATTTGGGAGAGGATTGGGCAGATCGTAGAATATGATTAGGGACCCGAGGTAAAATCTACTCGCTCTGTAAGTGTAAAGACTAAAGCGAAACGTTTTTATGTGCGAAATTGAAGGGGTGTAACATTATTACTACTATACCGTCGTTATGTATGCTGCCCCATTTTAACTTGGCACCTCTCATTTGTATTTACAGTTTAAGTTATGTGTGATAAAATCATTATACGGTACAATAAAAAAACGGAAATAACGAAATGAAATACTTAGCATGATTTCATTAAATAATAAGCATCTTTTTTGGGGCCAACACTTACAGTTTGTTTCCAATATAGCCCGCCGTATTATATTAATGAAGAAACACTAAAAACTGCAGCTACACGAGTGATAATTATAAGAACTTATGGTAGAGGTAAATGAACAGCAAAACATCGCGTCTGAGCGTTGTGTTTCCTATCATACGTCGGAAATGCTGTAGGCCATCCCTAATGAATTAATAATAATAATGCTGTAGACCATCCCTAATGAATTCATACGTCGGAAATGCTGGAGGCCATCCCTAATGAATTCATACGTATGAAATGCTGTAGACCATCCTTAATGAATTCATACGCAGGAAATGCTGTAGACCATCCCTAATGAATTCATACGTAGGAAATGCTGTAGACCATCCCTAATGAATTCATACGTAGGAAATGCTGTAGGCCATCCCTAATGAATTCATACGTCGGAAATGCTGTAGGCCATCCCTAATGAATTACAAGAATGTGTGCTTTTAGTCAGTGTAGAGGGGTTTAAGCTGCATTTAACTATGAAAAACTCTTATGGAAACAAAGAAGTAACATTTAGCTCTCCTGTCTTCCAAGATATGTTAAACTGGTTTTTGTAAAGATGTTGTTAGCTTTTTTTTTTTGTTTTAGATTAAAGAAGTAAAGGGTCCGATTGATCTAGGACTATCATGACTGTTTAAAATAGCTGTAAACAAAATTGTTTTGCAAATTCATCCAGAACAACATTTACCACTCAAAGCTTAGTACATCCAATCTCGTCCCCTGGCGGGACAGCGGTAAGTCTATGGATTTACAATGCTAAAATCAGGGACTGGATTTCCCTCGGTGGACACAGCAGATAGTGCAATGTAGCTTCACTATCAAAAATACACACACACACACACACGCATCCAATCTCTGGTTTCTGTACCCGTGACTGTCAGAACTGGCACGCTATATTAACCAAGGAAAAATGCTTTTAATTGATGACTGTTGTTAGTTATACTAGTTTTAGCATTAAAGCATATCTTTTAAGGCATACCCTCTATTATTCTATTTTTGCAAAGCTACACAAGGGCTATCTTTTTCTTTCTTTTTTTTTTCTTAACTGAAAGACCCAGTGAGAAGACAGCTAGTCAGTATCACCCCTCACTACTCCTTGGGCTACTATTGACTGAGAAAGTAGTGAGGTTTGACCATCTCTCTGATAATGTGCTATCTTGCGGCAATGGGACGCGAACCATGAAACCTCGGAATCATATCCCGCTACGTTTACCGCTAGGTCACGCACTGTTCTTTTTTTTTTTTATTTGATAAGCTGATGTTGGTAATTTACTCAGATATAATGACTGCTTCATTCGAGTGTGGTACTGGGTTATACTGTGTATTAGATAAACTTGTACTGTTTTGTTACTAGGATATATGGTTTATTTGGCGGGTTACTTATGCTAAATTATTACGATATGTTGTGTTTGTGTTAAGTGTAAACTGCTTGATAATATGCTGTTTTTTTGGTGCTGGTTACTGAAATCTATTGTTTGTTGGGATGATGACGGCTGTGCCGCGTTACTTGTTTGTTAGTTTAATTTTGTTCTGTTGGAGAAACGCTCCATGAGGTATAAACGTTTACAGTATTATCTTGCTATGTTAATTACGTGGACGAATTAGTCTTTGTAACAGGTATATTTAACTCCCTGTCACTTAAATTACGAATGTCAAAAAGGGCCTAAAATAATCCACATCCAGCTTGAATAAAAATGTGAACGAATACAATAACAGATATTACAGAGCTCGTAACGTATGTTATTATGTTGTATATCCCAAGATGATTGTATGTTAATGAGGGTATGATTTTTTTTCTGCCATACTTATAGATGCGGGTGTTTATGTATTCATGTTTCAATATGGTGGTTTGTACCAATCAATGGACATGTAAAATATCATCGTGTTGCATGTGCATTATGAAATATTAACTGAAACAAAACAAAACTTCGTGTAATCTTCCCAGAACTAGAATAAATCAAAACTATTGTACTTGAGTCATTTGCTTCACTTGCATTACTCAACTGGAACCCAGTCTTGTTAGCTGTATCAAACATACATGTTGCTGTTGAAATGTTGGAAAGAGCAGGGTGTTGATTGGGATAATACTTCACCATATAACACTAACTTTGTGTAACATTTTAATTAAATATACATACTGCTACTTCTGGATAACTTTGTAAAGTGAACAATTAAAGATGTTATCATCGTAAGATTGTACTGAGACGGATGACAACAGGACGACAATTAAAGATGTTATGATCGTAAGAATGTACCGAGACGGATGACAACATGACGACAATTAAAGATGTTATCATCGTAAGAATGTACTGAGACGGATGGCAACAGGACGACAATTAGAGATGTTATCATCGTAAGATTGTACTAAGACGGATGACAACAGGACGACAATTAAAGATGTTATTATCGTAAGATGTTGCCATCCGTCTCAGTACAAGGACAACAATTAAGATGTTATCATCGTAAGATTGTACTGAAACGGATGACAACAGGACGACAATTAAAGATATTATGATCGTAATAATGTACTAAGGCGGATGGCAACAGGACGACAATTAAAGATGTTATCAGGTTTTTGAGAGGTTTAGACTATTGTAAGTAACCAGTTTTATTATTAAACGGGAATACTTTTCTGTCATATCTGCTGGAAAAGTCTGAGAAAACTATGAAATGAGAGACAGTAAGAGTAGGTGGGTAGTACTGGAGCATTGTTTTCGTTAATTGATTTCAACATTAAACTACTTATCCGTCGTGTGTTTTAACCGATTTGTTATTTTAGCATTTGATGGGATCCACAAATTGCATCGTATTGAGTAATTTTTATGTTTTTACCTGTTACAACACTCGGTGTAAAGAACTGGCTGAAACATTAAGCGAAATTATCCATTTGTCATCCTTTTTTGTTTCGTTTTTGTAAAACACATAAGGAATCCCATCAGTAATAAGTGGTAGTTAAATGCAATGTTGGTGTGACTCATGTTAGGGAACTTTATAATATACAAAGTTAAAGGCCATCAAGAAATTTGATGTTGCATAGATATATTTAGGAAGGTACGTTTAAAAAGCCGATAATTCCAGAGTTAGTTGTTGTTTTTTATATGATTAAAATGCTAACTTTAATTCTTTCTACATTCTACGTTGTTAACAAGTGCAAGTAATGTGTGATATCTGGTCGACATTAAATTTACTTTTAAAAAATGTTTATATTTATGACCTAATATTGTCGAATACTGTGTAATAAAGGCCTGGCATAGCCAGGTGGTTAGGGCGCTCGACTCGCAATCTGAGGGTCGTGGGTTCGAATCCCCGTCACATCAAACTTGCTCGTCCTTTCAGCCGTGGGGGCGTTATAATGTGACGGTAAGTCCCACTATTCGTTGGTAAAAGAGTAGCCCAAGTGTTGGTGGTGGGTGGTGATGACTAGCCGCCTTCCCTCTGGTCTCACACTGCTAAATTTGTGCGAAATTCTGAAACAAAAACAAAACTTTGTAATAACTCAAATTATATTTTATTTAAACTAGATTTTAGGGCATACTTTGTACCAGTACGTGTAATAACTTTTGTAATGTTTGTTTTAATGGTAACTATACTTTTTCACATCCAGCTGAGAGGTCATTGAAAATAAAAACTATGCAGAACAATGAACTATTTTGATATATTAAAAGTTTGTTAATAATTTAATTTTCCGCTAGGTGATCGCCATAATTTGTTTTGGATGCGGATCTCCTGCAGTCACCGACTTCAGTCGTTTCTTCTTGTTCGTCGTCTCCATCTGTTTCATTGTTACTATACTTCTCATCTTCGTTTACCTGTTCGGACTTAAAGCTCTTTTACCTAATCTTCCTTGGCTGTTTTCAGTAAGTAAATTTAAAAATGAATAATAAAATAAAAGTAAGAGTTTATGATAAACAATATAATTTATGAGTGGTAACGTAGTATTTTTTTATGTTAACGCTTATTTTCTACGAGAGCTGTACAGGATGTCCGAAAAATCTTGAACCCTAGACATTTCAACGAATTTTACAGAGTGTGTTCCACATACTGTCCTTGTAATTGCAAACAAGCTTGGATTAACATAGGATTAACTCGACCTTCTCATGCTTTAACAGCGCCACAATCAGTCATGTATTTTAAATTAAGAAAAGTTGCAAACCACCTATGGTTCCAGACTTTTCGGACACACTGTAGGGAAATTGTATGTTGTCGTCCAAAGTTCAACATTGGCGCAAAATAGAAATCGGTTTACTGGATCATTCTCAAATCCCTGAGAAGAACAAAATTCAAAATTTTACTCGAACTAGTTAATTTTCACAAACAAATATTTTATCGGAGAGAAAATGTTCCTGAAATAGTTTAATAACTTCCCACAAGGGGGCGCTAACAACAGGAAAATTTGCTAATTTTTAGGCAGGAAAATTTTAAAACTGCTATAACTAACCCTTATCAACAGGTAGTACAAACAAATAATTTCAACTAAAATTTTACATTGATAATAATAATATATCATAAACCAACATATTACCTCGGTAGAGCTAAACGACAAGAACTGTAAATATATATATAATATCACGATTTTATTTCCTTAATTATTCATATCTATTCAATGGATCGCATAATATCAAAAGTTGGTTAGAAATAGATAAGCCAGTTTAGTGTGCAGAATGGTGTACTGTAATGACTTTCGTTTTAAATGCAATAAGAATGAGTTCCAGGTAAAACGTGACTTTAGTAACGAAAGTGCGAATATTTCCAATTAGGAACATTTGGGCAGTGATAAACGGACCGGAAAAGGCTTTCCACTTGGTTACCATTTTCATTTAGCAATTTTGTTCCTTTTAGAACCCACTATGCATGCAAGAATATTCGTGTTACTTCTAAACTCAATATAACATGCCTTATCAATTCAGTATTTTAAACATTGATAAATACTCGGTAGAAGAACAAAAAAAGTCAAATTGTATTTAAGATCCTTCAATCCGTTTTTTTCAGCTTTGTCCATCTAGAGAATAATTAAAAAAAATGTTTTTTTGAATTGTAGAAAAACAACTTTTTTTGCCCAGTTCTATGAATTGTACACGTTTATTCAGTAAATTTTATTTTTTATTTCCGCCCTTTTATATTTATGAAAATTGATTGCAAAGAATAGCAAACACAACACGTTACCAGAAAGTTGATGATTTCAGTACAACTTCTGACAGCAAAATCTACAAAGGAAACAAAAGTAAGCACTGGACATTGAAAGAAATAAACTGTTTGCCGATTTAAATATAATTTATGACAGCAATAAGTAACAAAAAACAAATTGTAGTTTACACCGAACGTTAAAAGATGGCGATGCTGATGCCAGAATTTACGATTGAAAACAAACAGCAGTTCAGGTAAAATATTTTATTATGTATTTCCATTTATGACAAACTACTGACCAGCGCCCCACCATCCACTAGTCATGCTAAGGAATTGACTGTCACTCTTATAACACCACCGCAATTTAAGGTGTGGGCAATATTTTTGTGGTATTACACGGATTCGAAACTGGTTCGCTACTTCCGAGATAAAGAGCTCTATCATGGGACCAATCCGTACAATATTTTATTCTACTAGAGGGGTTAAAAATCAGTTTTGAGCCTTGATGACCCGATTGTTATAAAACATTATTCACAACTCGTGTTTTATCTAATAGTAATCCAAAATGGCTGTCAGTAAAAGAAGACTTTTTTTTTTAAGAGCGACACAGAAGCAGGCCATTAAGCTCAAACAAACATAAAATAAAATGTAAGTTTCGCTACAGAAGAAGAGGTTGGAAAACATAATAAGCTGCATGACAAATAAATTAACAAACATTTTGATAAAGGTGAATAGAAAGTAGTAGTTAAATACTTGATGTACTTGTGCAGGATCCCCGAAAGTGTTCTGTTTGAGGAGTAAATAAAACCAAAATTAAGAGTTACAAATATTTTTATTTCTTGCTTTTGAAGTTCATGTGTCATGCTGTGTTGTAGCCTACGGAGTGCATAATTCTTCTCGTGATTCATGGCATGCGCAAGTTTTACTGACGTCATTTTAGTATCTACTGATTGACTAACATACAATACACGACTGTATTTTGGTGCAATTGGTTAAAACAGGTGACATCATCATGGCTGCAGAACTAGCATCGCATCATTGTGAGCCTGTAGAAAAGACGGCTCAGCATGGCCAGGTGGTTAGGGAGCTCGAATTGCAATCTGTGGGTCGCGGGTTCGAATCCCCGTCACACCAAACACGCTCGCCATTTCAGCCGTGGGGGCGTTATAATGTGACGGTCAATCCTACTATTCGTTGGTAAAAGAGTAGCCCAAGAGTTGGCGGTGGGTAGTGGTGACTGGCTGCCTTCCCTCTAGTCTTACACTGCTAAATTAGGGACGGTTAGCGCAGATAACCCTCGCGTAGCTTTGCACGAAATTCAAAACAAACCAAACCAATCCTCCCCTACTGCTCCTAATTTGTTTCACCAGAGGCACTGGCAGATGGGAGCCCATGCCTCGATTCTATTCTAATCCCCAATTTTTAATTTGAAAAAATCAGAATAGAAAACCATGATCGATATCTTACCGAAACGCCGAAAATTCCCACGCCTATGGGAATCTTTTAAGCACCTAGCGACGCCTCTGCGTTTCACACTTTTAATATTCCACGCCTAACTTCAGTCTCTTTCCTCCCTTATTGTTCCTAATTCATGTTACATTCTACTTTCGTTTGAGTTTATTACTGTAATATGTTTGTGAAGAGAAGGTTCTGGGTGCGGCTGGACATTTTTGTAAATTTTGTATTAAATCTGATTAATTGATATTCAACCACACATGTATCAATCACTTACTGTGAAGTAGGGATGTATGAGTGACAAGAACATGTGGGCGACTATTGGACAACGTTTCGGTTTCAAAGGTTTCAGCATGGAGATCAAAACGTCGCCCGAAAACCGCTTGCAGGTAGTGGCTATATTCCTGCTTGAGAAACTTACATTACTAAAACTTCCGTCCACGAGTACATCATTTATTAATTACATAATTATTTAACGTCTTTCCCAAAGTATTGATAAAAATTATTTAATGTGCTCTTTTTTTTAACTGTATCCAGGAGTGGCTTAAACAAACAATAAAAACAAGCAAATAAAAATACCGAAATATAACCGAGACTAGTTTCTAATTGATCGACTCTCCCAAAAAATTTCACTCTGTGATTCATTGGCAAGTCTGAGGACTTGTAACGTTTAAATTTGGACTTAGATACCCGCGATTGTCATAGCACAGATTGCCCATTGTGTAAGTTTGTGCATAATAACAAATAAACAAACTCTCAAAAATCTTTTGCTGTGTATGTGTTTTAATCTGATATCAGTCTATTAAACACCATACACATACGTTCTGCTCTTTGTTGCGGAAACGCAATTAATAAATATTACTCATTTTATTCCATTTAAGGAAATGGTTTACACAGCCATTGCGGTGGTTCTGTACATAATTGGAGCCATAGTGGAGCTTGCTATGACAGGCGATTCCAAATACACCTTCGCTCTGAAGATTCACAGGTTCTACAATCCGTACATGGCTGCTGGGGTAAGTCTTCACCTAGAATATATACAGTTGGTAGAAGTCTCAATATTTTTAAAGTAGAGTTTTGGCTCAAGACGTTGAGATAGAGAGTCAACATTGCCATCTTTGTTTTAATAATTATTTATTTTATCAGTTTTTTTATTTATCATTTCCGAAACTAAATCAATCGCCAAAACAGTGTCAATATTTTTTTAATGTTTAATAAAAGCTTGCCAAACTTAAATATATATAATTTGAATCTCAGTTAATAAGTCAAGATAGTTAAAACAAAAACGAATCAAAATTATAAATCGTTTGTTTTAGTTATTCTGCAAAAACAAAAAAAACACGACCTTTAAAGATTCAGATTCTCTTTTGTTTAAAGCCCGTTTCGGTATTCGATTTTGTCACTTTTTTTATAGCTATTCCTTTTCTAAAGTATTGATAAACTTAATCGAATAAAATAAACTATAACAGAATTAACGCGCCATTCAGTCGTAATTTTATTCATTCTCAATTATTTTCAATGTATGAATGGCAGGTAAAATCTTATTTTCCGATAATTGTCATTGTTCGTAAAATGTTTATCATGCAAGTTACAAATAAAAAATTAAAGGTTATGAGGCTTTCATTTGTCGTTTCATGCTGTTTCTTGGTTTCCCTAGATTTGCTAGAAAGTTTGTACTCCTTGACATTTTTCAGTTTATGCTCCTTCTGGCAGTTTAGTATTTGTGTTTATACCATTTATATTTTGTGTTTGTTGATTAAATTGTGAGAATGACTTTTTACGCTGAGTTTTTCACGAACGTCAACTGAACAGCCAAATCAAGTCACAACACTGTTGGTTGAATTATAGCGAAATTTATTCAAACTGGTAGAATGACTGATCGTTCATGAAGGCCACGTAGTGTTACTGATGAAGTTTATCCTCATTTAAAGTATTTACTGAATATGGGATTGCAATATTCTATGTCTACTTATTGTAGGTTAGTTATAGATTTAAAGGATTCGGTGACAGTGAGTATTGAATACCGACGAGTTTTTGTAAATTTATTTAATATCAAAGAGATTCAGTAAGTATTTTAAAATCTAAATAAAAGGAATTGCTTTTAATGATATTAAAGTTGTTTTGTTCCTTTTTGTAAAGTTTATTGTCCTGGGATAGTCCAAGTTTGTTTTTGTTTTTTCTCTGTTGAGACATGAAAGTGAGAAAAAGTGCAGAGCCAAACTCAATGATTTACTTGGTCTTATTTTTAATTTACGGTGGGTTTCGGCGATATTAAAAATTATAATTTCGTTATTAATGAAGCCATTCTTTCATGACATTTCAGGTTTTCGGTCTGTTTAACATCGTCGCATACGGTGCCGGTCTCGCTTTCATCTTTAAAGAATGGCGAGAATCAAGGCAGGTGTCATAGAGGACAAGTCGTCGTGACCTTTGTCATCACGCTTCAGAGTTTGCCCTTAGAACTTCATTTAGTCCAGGGGCAAGCCTCAACAAAAATTACCCCCTTTAAATTTAAATAAGCATATGCACAATTACTGTTAACACTGCACAGTTATCATTCACACCCCCTTTTTTCGGTTTTTGTTTGTTTTGTTTTTTAATTTAGAGTATTTTCAGACTAATTGAATATTTTTTTTGTAATGTGTGTATTTTGTCAAATTATGATTGAAGATAACCCATACGTTTAAGTAAAACTGTCATTTGGGAACCCCCATTATGTACCAATGTACGTCAGGTACTTGGTTCCATCTGTAAAGTTCTTAATGATAATGTCATTGGAACAAAAACCGTTTTAATGATATTTATTGTATTTTTTAGGTGTTACGCCGTGGTTGTACTTAAAAAGTGTAGAATAGCGGAAGTGGTAACAAGGGGGTTTGTCTATAAAAGTTATTTAAACCCCATGAATATGTTTCATGTTTTGTGTTCATATATATATATAATTATTAATCAGAATGGTTTACAATCAAAACATTTTTAATATCACATGTTCTTAAATCTCGTATTTACTAAACCATATAATATACGGGATTTGTTGCGTCACGTTAATATTGCCTCTTTCACAGAGACGGAAATTTATTGACAGTTTGAAATTCCGATCACTTTTTCATAAACATCACTAAATTTCTTTGGACCAATTGGTTGTAACGTTTGTTATCAGTCTCTCTAAAAAAAAATCGCTTTTTTTATGAGTATCATATTTGAAATTTGATTGCTATTACCGACATTTATGTCTAGACGAGAAAATTATTAATGGTGAGTGTGAAACAGTACCACCGATAGAGGGCAGGACGTGTATCCAGAATATCTCTTGACTAGCTAGCTTCTCGTGGGCTGCAATATATGTACGTTCAAACGGAATTTTAATTTCAGGTCTAGAACTAACACGATACAATGATGTACATAGTAAAACAGTGGACATGTATGGCAACCTTAAAATTATTAGCAGGTACACCCACCAGCCTTACACCTGAGGGGGATCACTACCCCTGGTTTACTTTCTTATGTTAATAGTGGTCAATATTATTTTCACAGTTTTACAACAAATATTTATTAACTGTATATCCAGTACTGCTTTATTGTAGGTTCTTCAGGGGCATTATCAAAGTCATAAATTACCTAACTTTAAAAAAAAACTGTAACACCTAAACGACCCATATGTTGTATTTAACAGAGCGTAACATGCAAGACTCATTCCTATTGGTCTATTGATATACGGCTTAACAGAATAAATTTTAGGAAAGGGATATACATTCTTTCGTGGTGTCTGGCCTAAGATATTATCGTTATTTTTACTAAAGATTTTTTAACAATTAAATAAGCTAAGTAGAATGTCTCATGCCTCATAATAAACCGTTAGTAGGACAAGCAGCTTGGTGATATTACCAAGGCATCCACTGTTAGGCCCAATATCTTGCAGCAAAAGGGTGAACTTAATTAAAGCATTGTATCACGTGATCGTCACAAAACAGTAAACTAGATTAGCTGCTCGTGTGACTCAAAATCTAGCTTTTTATTAAAATACAACAGCGGTACATTACAGTGTTACTGTTGCCTTTGGTACAAGAGTGTTACTATCGATTTGATATCGGTATTGTTGTACGTTAAATAATGCACGCCGTTTCTAAATTAAATGTTCTCGTATTGTTATATGATGAATAATGCAAATTGTTTCTTAACTAAATCTTCACGTAACTTGTGTATATTTAATGGTTAAAAATAAAGTTCTTAACTAAGACCTGTTTCGTATTTTCTTTGTTGTTTCTTCACATTTCTCCGTTATTGTTTGTTCAATCGACCGCAAACATACCGTTATAAATAGTTTCTATTTTGACCCGAGTTCTGGATTATTCGGTAAAAATAGTAATATAAAATATAGTTCATTTAACGAAAACAAGACGTTTTATTTCATTAAAGTTCCGGCCCGGCATGGCCAGGTGGTTAGGGCACTCGACTCGCAATCTGAGGGTCGCGGGTTTGAAT